ACAACAATAATAACAACAGCATTTACAATTTGCAGAGAGCTTGATAAATATCTCATTCATCTTTACAACAACCCTCATGCTATTATTATCTCGATTTTACAGATAAGGAAACTGAAACAGGTTAATTGACTCACCTAGGCTCACAGAGTTAATGTCAGAAGCCAGATCTGAACTCAGGTCTTGCTGACTCCAGGCCCAGCACTCTATCCACTGTGCCACCTAGCAGCCTCTTTGCAGGGGTAAACAAAGCATGCACTGTATATCTGGAATGTGCAGTTTACTCTTGCAAATACACTGAATGAGCAAAATACACACCAGGTAAATACAAAGATATGATTGGGAGGACCCCATGAACTGCTTTGTACAGGAGGTAGCACTTGAACTGGGCCTTGAAGGAAACTACACCTAGCATACACACCACAAAATTTTAGATGTCCTATGTTGAGAAAGGAAGATGGCACTTGGAGTCCCATAGCATAGGACAAGAAAAGAATTTTGGACTAGAAATCAGGACATCCAAGTTCTAGTCCTAGCTCTACCCCTTATTACCTGACTGACTTGGGACCTGTCATGCAACCTCCCTTAGCCTCAGTTTTTCATAACTATAAAATGAGAAAATTGGAACGGATGAACACCTAAAATCCCACAGAGCTGATTTTGTGTGATTACCATCTCTATGCGCACAAACAGTGAAATCCCTTCTACCTACTATACTTGATCAGAAAGCAAAATACAATGCACTTCCAATGAATTGGGGAAGAAAATGATTAAAATTCACAGCAAACCCAAAAGCTCACTTAACTAATACAGGAAACCTTTATTATCTGAACTTGCAATCTCAATTTGAACTCAAGCTTTCTGTGGCTTCAAGAAGTGCTGTGAGGGTTGAATGAGATAAGGCATGTAAAATTCCCCTCCCCAAGCTGTACCACCACCTCAACTCCACAGGACTTTCTCTCCCATGCCGTAGAAGCCGCTTCATTCTGAAAGCTCATTCCACTCCTGGCCTCCTCACTTTGGAAATACTCTTTGTCCCTGACCCTCTCATTCTGATTGACTGGTTCCTCTCAGACCTTCCAATTTAAGGAGCTTGGGTCAAAAATGTCTCTATTAGCCTCCAGTCTACACTGCTGACTCAACTCCACAAGATTTTCCCTATCTTGCCCCAAGACCAGAAACTTCTCTCCCCACCCCCATCAGCTCCCTTTTATATGTGTCCCATTAAAATGTAGGCTCCTTAAGGAGAGAGATTGCACTTCTTAACAAATGCTTGTTGAAAACAATCCCAAAGCATACTATCTGCCTCCAGAGAAACAACTGACATTATTTGAATACAGACCAAAGCATGCTATTTTCCACTTTCTTTCAATCCTTTTCTTTTATTCAAGTCTTCTTGTACAAAATGACTAATATGGAAATGTTCTACATAATTGCATATGTAAAACCTATATCTGATTGCTTACTATCTCCTGGAGGGGGCAGGGGAGGGAGGGCAGGATAGAATTTGAAACTCAAAACTTTAAAAAAAAAACCAAATGTTAAAAAATTGTTTTAACATGTAATTGGGGAAAGAATAAAATATACTAAATTTCAAAAAAAGAAAAAAAATGCTTGTTGGCTGACATTTTGCAAATTTTACATGCAAATTTTATATTCCTAGCTGAGTTACAGCTTTGCTTTGTATTCTCTATGAAGAAAGGCAAATTAAACACATAAAACAGGTCTCAAGGGGAATCTAACCTTCTTACTCCAACTGACACAGCTCTAGGTCAAGCCCTCATTATCTCTCAGGTAGCTGTATTATAGTCTCCTAATTGCTATCCTTGCCTTCCAACCTCTTCTCCATTTTCCTAAAGCACCGCTCTGATCATGCCACACCCCTGATCAAAAAGCCAGTGGTTCCCTACTGTCTATTGTCCAAAGCATAAATTCCTAAGCTTGGTGTTCAAGGTCTTCCACAAACTGGCTCCAACTCAGCATTGCAGCCATATTTCATGGTACTTCCTCTCAAAGACACACTATATTTTAGCCACTTTGCACTATACCATGACTGGAACACACATCACTCTTCCCCACACTCACTACCACATATCTATCAATTGAAAGAATTCTCTTCCTTCACATTCCAGACAAATATGATCTCCTTATAGTATCTCAGGGTTGGAAAGAAGCTTAGGGATTATTTTTTTTTGAGGCAATTTGGGTTAAGTGACTTGCCCAGGGTCACACAGCTAGTAAGTATCTGAGGTCAGATTTGAACTCAGGTCCTGCTGACTCCAGCACTCTGCTCTATCCAGTGCCACCTACCTGCCCTAGCTTATAAATGTTTTAAACCATACTGGAATAACAATATCCTCTACATCCTTAACAAGGGGTCATCCAGCCTTTGCTTGAAGACTTCCAGGAATGGGGAACTCGCCACCTCCTAAGTCATTCCAAGTTTTGGGAAATATAGTCCAATTTTGCCACGAATTTCCTTTGCAACCTTAAGCAAATCATTGGATTCAGAAGATATGAGGTCAAATCCTAACTCTGTGATCTTGGGCACATTATTTGATATCTTATATTCTTAGTTTCTTTACCTGTAAAATGGTGGCAATTATATATTCTTTTTATGTCTCAAAGATTTGGCATGAGGAAAAAGAAAATAATTGCTTTCAAAATGTTCTAGAATAATAAAAGTACCACACAGATATAAAGCATTAGTATTCACTAGCTGGTTTTTCTACGTCTGACAAAAGCTGGTAGAAATGTAAAACAAAAGGTAAGAAGACAGGATCCCACACTGCTGTAGAATCAACCTGCCTGGTCCTGTTGTTCCAGCATGTTTGTGATATGTGCCCAATTTGAATTCCCAAAACATAAACTATTTTTTAAGGATGTGGGGTTTGGCAAAACCCAAATTGCCTTTTGCCAGTTTTTTCTCTTTAATTTTTAAAACATGCCATTTATTCTGAAAGGAACCTAATCTATATCTTTTCTGGCTTGCTTACATTTCATTCACTGAAATGTTATTTTTTTAGCATGATTTGATGACTAAGGATCCTTCTCCTTTAAAAAAATGTTTTGCTTAAAACAAAACTAAAAATATAAGGATTTGAGGGCTTGGCTGAAAAATTAACAAGCAAAATATTCCAGCTTTTTTACTTGGCGAAATGTTCTCCCTCCACATCTCGGAGATGCCTCTCTTTGGGGAGTTAAATAAGGTACCTAGTGCATGACTGTTCATGAATGACTTTTCATGGCAGCCAGGTCTCATACTCAGAGCATCTGAAGCCTTTTTTTTTCAGGTAGGGAAGCGCTAAAAATAGCAACTCAATCTGCTTCCCCTTCCTGGATCTGAAGAGCAGAATAATGAAAAAATGCCCCCAGCTAAATTGGATTTACCAGAAAGCAAGCCACACTAAATTAGTATCCCTGCATGAAATCTGGATTAATTTGTTTCATATGCAGACACCCTTAATTTCTAATACTTTAGACCAAATTGACAAAATTTAGAGTACTATTATAAGGATGGAAAAGGGAGTTGGAAATTCAGGGCAGTCACAGACCCCTATGCCAGGTGGTTAACAAGGGAAGGATGCTGTTCCCCAAGGAAGAAGTCAAAATCTGTATTATAGTGTGGTGTACACTGCCTTCTGTTCTTCCCCCATATTGTTCCTAGTCAGGGTGAATTTTTTTTCTTATAATATATTCAAACCAGGATTCAGAGTCTCACAATAGGAGAATTCACACCTTATAAATAATTTTATTTGAGCCCTATGCTGTCATTAAAACAACCTCCAGAGCATGGATTCTTAACCCTTTTTGTGTCATGGATCCCTTTGGTATCTGGTGAAACATTTAGGCCACTTTTTGGAACAATGTCTTTTAAAAACTGAGGGAAATGTTCAATTTCATTTAGAGGTTAGTGAAAATAAAGAAGTAATTTTTCCCCATCCCAACCCCAAGCTAAGAACTCCTGCTCTGGAGAGAGAAATAGATCCATGTAAAAGATTATTATATTATCAAATTATTTTGCTATTAATGCAAGTTGACATAAAATATGAAGTCAAGCAGAATGATAAACTAAATCAGTGGTATCAAATAGACATAGGTGCCTCTAATAATACATAAGGATCCCTGTGAGCCAAATATTGACTTAGTTTTAAAATGTAATATTATTTATGTTTTGTTATATTTTTATTTATTTTGTTAAATATTTCTCAATTACAGTATTGTAATCTGATTTGGGTCACACTCAGGAGTGTTGTGGGCCATGTGTTTGACACCTCTGAACTAAATGATCTCTAAGATTCTTTCTAGTACATTATAACATTCTATGGCTCTAGGAGGATAACGTATTCCTAGCTTTGTCACTAATTGTGTGACTTTTGTCTCTCTGGGACTCAGTTTCCCCATCTGTAAAATGAGGGTGCTAGATTAGATGATATCTAAAGAATATTCCTCAGTTTCTCCACTATAAAATGAAGACATTGGGTAAAATGATCTCTAAGATTCCTTTGAGCTTTAACATTTTATGGTAATTGTCTATGAAATTTTTCTGCATTCAGATATGATTTGTTTGCATCAATTCAGGGCCATGAAGAAAATGTCACACAAACAAGCAAAAACATACAAACACACACATGAAGCTCTGTCACCAATTTAAAGTGAATAAAACAAATTTTTAGCACAATCTAGACCAAAGCAAATGGTTCAACAACTAAAAAATTCATTGGTAAAAATATTTATGAGCCATCTAATAATCAAGTGCCATTGAAGATGTAGGGGTGTCATGGAACACTCCAGAATCTCTAGTTATGCTAGAATCTCATTTGGAACAGTCTATTTATTTGGGAAGCTCCAGTTCCTTGAGCAAGACTCCCTAGGACATATTGATTGTGTGCTGGCCCTCGACCTGTCTGTGTGATCCTCCCTGTTTTACCCACTGAACCCTTTGAGTTTCCAATTCATGTGATAGCATGGATGCCATAAAATTGATGAAGGCCTTGGCTTACCTTGCTCCATCATCTCCAGCAGACCCTTTTTAATGAGTTCATCCCGACCTTGCCTCGTAGCAATCTTCTTTTCCAACACTGCGTAACACACAAACACCAAGATTAGCGGCAGTCAAGAGCCAATTCATTGCTAATGGTTGCTCATCGGAAAGAAAGCAGCAGTGGATGCTGAACCTTGAGTTCACTCAAAGTAAACAATGGGAAATTGGCTGACCAAAAGGTTACATTTAGTTCTGGGTCCAGATATTTCTACAAATTTTAAATACTTATTTGTAAAACAGTTCTGGGACTCTCCCATTAACCATTCTCTTTAGAACTGTCCATAAGCACCCCTCTCTACCCCTTTTTTTTAAAAGACAATAATCTCACTGATTTATTTTAAAGGCAAAACTGTGGAAATCCCTCTTCTCTAAACTTGTTGTTCTCTGGCTCTGACAGTTCAATAATTTCCCATCCAAGGAATGTAACCTTTTTCTGCCCCCATCACCCTGATGTATTTTTCTGTGGTTTGCATTATCATTTGCTAAATACATTTCAACACACTATTTATGTCAGTCCTCAGCTCTAAGACCTTTATGCTTTCTCCCTCTAGAAATTCCACAAATAAATCATATATTAACAGCATTAATAAAATTCAAAAGAAAGGCTCTTAGCCAATAAGCCTTCCCCCACCTATGGGCAGTTGCCAAATCTTGTCAATTTCTCCTTCAGAACACTGTTGCTTCCTCTCTCTAACCAACAGTGAAATCTGTTCTGCATGTGGTGACTGTGTCTCACTTACTCTCATCATCTCTGTTCTCCTAACTTCTCTCCCACTCTGCTCTCCAGCTGACATTCAAAGGCTGTCACATGTTATCTTCCCTTGGCATTAAGATACCATCATTTCCTCTTTCAGACAATCTTGCTACAAATTAATTTTTACCCCAGCACATGATTTAATGGCTTTAGAATAGAGGTTGGACCTTTGGTTTCATTGGTACAGAAATTCCCAATTCAAGTTGGCATCTTTGCTGCAACATAAGGCCTTAGATATTTGTGTAAGTGAATTATCCAGGGCCACACAACCGGTATATGTTAGAGGTAGGCTTCGAACCCAGCTCTTTCTGACTCTGAGACCAACTCCTTTCACTAGGCAGTTAAGTGGTACAGAGGATAGAGCTCTGGGCCTGGTGTTAGGAAGACAAACTCAATTTTGGCCTCAAACATTTACTAGCCATGGCTTTGGGCAAATCACTTACCCATTACCTGCTAAAATGGGGACCATAAAAGCACCTACCTCACAGGGTTGTTGTGAGGATCAAATGAGATATTTGGGAAGTGCTCAGCACAGGAGCTGGCATATAGTAGGCACATAATTAATGCTTGTTCCCTTCCCCTTTCTCCACACTATGATGCCTCTGGGTTTAGTGTCTACCATTAATTGTGGTTGCAAAAACTATATAGCCTATGCTAAGAGCTACTTGCAAATAAACTAACACTTGGTCCTAAACTTGAGAAGGTGCAGGGGACTTGTTCACCATTAAGTCTGGAAAGACCCAGGTGGAAAAGCAATAGGATAGAAACCTTTAAAAGCATAATGAGAATGTAGTATGATTAAACATACTAGGTAAGTGGCACAATGAGTAGAGTGCCAGGCCTGAAGTCAAGAAGACTCATTTCCCTGAGTTCAAATCTGGCCTCAGACATGTACTAGCTGTGCAACCCTGTGCAAGTCACTTAACCCTATTTGCCTCAGTTTTCTCAACTGTAAAATGAACTGGTGAAGAAGATGGCAAAATACTCCAGTATTCTTGCCAAGAAAACCCCAAAGGGGGTCATGAAGAGTTGAACATAACTGAAAAATGACTAAACTGAACTTCCCAGAGTAGGGTAGTAAATACGTAGATCTCACTACCCCAAAAGGAAGGTTCAAGCTAAAAAAAAAATATTCTTTTAGAAAAGGTAATTTAGGAAATGAGAGTTCTATAGATTAGTGAGATCACTTGAATGACAAGGAAGCTTACAGATTGTCTAATTCAACCTCTTCATTTTACCAGTGAGGAAATTGAGTCCCAAAGAGATGTTGTGACTCCTACAAGGCAGAGCTATAATTCCAACCCAATTCTAATTCCTAGTCCAATATTCTCTCCTCTACAGCACTCTGCTTTCTCTAAACAATGAAATAAAACACTAAAAGGTATTAACAAAGATGAGTATTGCGTAGAGAAACTGTGGTGGAAATTCATATGATTAAGTCAGGAAAGCTAGACTTCAGGTGCTCTACCCACAGGCAACTTGGATGACTTTAGGTAAATCACTTAAAGAAGTGATAGTCACCTTGTTTTCCTTATCTGTAAATTGAAAAGTTTGAGTTAGAAGATTTCTAGGGTCCGTTCTAGCTTTAATATTCTATGAGAAATTAGGATGTTAGGAGCACATTGCTAACCCTTGATTCAGCCATAAAAAGGTCAACCCTGCCTTTCCACAATGTATTCTTTGGCATCCCCATCAGAGACAGAATCCTGGGCTGACCTGGGGTACCAATTCTGATGTTTTCAAGGAGATTGAGATCATAATAAGGATGGCAGCAAGGAGCTTTACAAATGAAATATAGTCCAGGTAGGCCTCAAGTACCTTTTCCAACATTGTGGCAACTGACAACCATGATGATAAGGAGTTGGGGGGCGGGAGAGGGTATACTTTAGATGATGCACAATAAAATAGGCAGCATGATATAATAAGCATTGGATTCAGAGTCAGAAAATCTGGATTAGAGTCCCAGCTTTGTAATTTACTAGCCATGTAACTATAATCATGACTTTTATCCTCTTTGAATATGTTTCTTCATCTAAAAAAATTGGGGGGGGGAAGAATCACTCTTGTTCTGTTTCATAGAAAGAGTTATGATAGTTACATGAAAGTAATATCTAGCAAAATAATTTGAAGAATTACATAGTGCCTTCCTGAATCAGAGTTTGACAGGACCTCAGAGAGAGCTCAGTACAACCCATACCTGCAACTGGATCCTCTCAACAATGTCCCTGATTGGGGCAGCTACGTGGTGCAGTGGATAGAGCACCGGCCTTGAAGTCAGTAGGACCTGAGTTCAAATCCGGCCTCAGACCAAACACTTGACACTTACTAGCTGTGTGACCCTGAGCAAGTCACTTAGCCCCAATTGCTTAAAAAAAAAAAGAAAAAAAAAAGCAATGTCCCTGATCAGTAACCATGCAGCCGCTGCTTGAAGACCTTGAGTGATGTGGACTTACTGCCTTGTAAAAGTATATATTCTGTTTTTGGACAACTCAAATAGAAAGAAAGTTTCTCCCTATATGGAACTGACATTTGTTTCTCTGTCATATATATGCACTGGTTCTAGTAATAACTTCTGTGGCCTAGCAGAGCATCTAAATCTCTCTTTCATATGATACACTGATCACCTTTCACATACATGAAGACAGCTCTTATGTTTTCCCTCAGCCTTCTCCAGGCCAGGCACCCCTAGTTCATTGAACCAATCCTTCTATGTCCTGCTTTCCTCAGTCCTCTCACCATCCTTGTTACCCTTCTGGGATCCATTCCAGTTTGTTAAAGACCCTCTTAAAATGTGAAGTCCAGAACTGAATACAAAAGACCAGATAGTCTTATTAGAAAAAAGAACGGCAGGATTATCATACTCCAAGTTCTGATTACAATAACAATGTAATCTAAGATTGATTTAGCATTTTTGGCTGCTATGGTACACTGTTAATTCACATTGAGCTTGCAGGCCACAAAAATTCCATTGTTTCTGTTTCATTTAGTTTTGGTTTTTTGTTGTTGTTAACATGAGCTGCTGTCTAGCTACTCTATCCTGTACTACAGTTGATTAAAAAAAAAAAAACTACCCAATGTATGGGACTTTACATTTATCACTATTAAATTTCATCTAATTGGATTAACCTCATTGTTCTACCCTGTCAGAATCTTTTTGGATCTTGGTTCTGTCATCCCACGCTAGCCATCCCTCCCAGCTTTGTGTCATCTACAAATCTGATAGCAAATGAAAGTAAATGGCATAATTAATAGGCAGTGACAGAGTTCAAGCAGCCTAATGAAGATGATATCGTCTCCTTATTCCCTGACTACTTATCCCCTCTTTGGCTCTTCGGAGCAGTGAAGAAAACAGATTGTTGGGACATCCCAAGGCAAGATCTGCTAAAGCAGTCACCTACAGAGCTTGAGCCCAAGGTCTCAGTCTCATTTCATATGAGCATCTTAGATGTCAATTATGCATCACAACTAAAGATGATGTGGTTCAAAAAAGAGGCTAGAAGATGAAAGGCTGGGGCGGTCAGTGATGTTCAGTTTCGAATTAGGTTGTTTCAAGACAGAGTAACTTTTCCTCTTCATTATCAAGCCTCTGTTACTTCTGACAATGTGGCTCACTTTTTTATGAATCTCAATTAAATAGTAGAAAGAATAGAGGAGCTGTAATTCATTTACTCTGCCTAAATTATGCTCTTCACAAGACTTCAGTGAGATTCCCCACCAGTAACAAATCTCATTATTTCATTCTGACTCTTCTGGGTGGCAGTTTGCCTTCCCCTTCCCCCTTTATATTATAGCTTTTACCTGATGAAGTCTGTTTCAGCTTTTCATTTTTCTTTTTCCTCCATTTCCAGGGTTTAAAGATCCTGCCTAAGGTGGCCAGTTTGCTGTTCCTCCTCACCGGGGGAGTACGAATCCCTGAGACCAGATATTCGGAACGTACTGCAGGAGACTGGTCCATCTCATCTAGAAGAGAAAAACCACAAGGGGATTATCATCAAGCCAACAGTGTTTTGCAGGAAGATTTATGGGCACTCTTTCACCTTTGAGATTTCCAAAACTCACTAAGAATCATAGAAAACATCACTCCTTCCCCTGAGGAATAGCCCAAATCTTCCCTTGGGCCCCAAAGAAATTATCCCATTTTTATACTCTCCAGACAGCAATCATGCCAACGTCTACCTTATATAACCCGCTTACTTTAGTTTGTTTTTTACCTAAAAATCACACTTAATTAACACAAACAAGAAACAAGGGTTTGAAGGTGGGAGGCAATGGAGAGTGTTTTTGGTGGCCTTCAGTGTAGCATAATTGGATGCAGGTAGGTTTAAGTCTCATCTCTGTCACTAAGAAGCCCTTGATCCCTCCCTTTCTGGGCTTATCTCTCACTATTTCCCTTACCCTGAACGTGAGAGGTGCTGTGTTCAGTGAAACGAATGCTGGATTTGGAATTGGGAGGTCTAGGTCCCAACTCTGCTTCCAACAACTTGAAGCAAGTCATTTGATGTCTGGACTTCAGCTTCTTCAACTGGAAAATGAGGGAGCTGGACCAAATAATGTCACAGGTCCCTTACAGTATTCTACTCCACAGTCCTCTCCAGTCAGGGTATTCTCTTCATTTTGTTCTGCCTCCATGAATTTGTTCATGCCATTCCCACTTCCCTGAAGATGCCTCCATCTTCCATCACCACAAGGTTAAGTTTGACTTGTCAATAACATCGAGATTAGTTTGCTGTAAAATTTGCAAACTATTTTATCTTCATGGTGGGTAGGAATAAGCTGCAACACATTACAAATGTGTCTTGGAGAAAGTACAGACATCAACGAGATCACAGAGCCAGGGGAGTATCCCTCAAAGGGACACTATGAAGTAGGTCATACTAATGTCATTATTGCCATTTTATAGATAAGTTCTCTTTAAAGGATGAAGCAACTTGGCTAAGATCAAACCAGACTAAATCTCCAATTTTTTGTGAACTCTTACTTCTTCAGTCCAGTCAGACGCGATGTCTTTCTCTTCTGAACTCCTAGAACATTTCTTATCTCTGCCATTGAGAGCATTTAAATACATACTACCTTAAAATGATTGCAATTTTATTTATAATCATGTATATGTGCTTGGGTCTCCTCTTTTGGACTATTTTTGATTCATTTTGGTGACCACACACACACACACACACACACACGCACTCAAATTCATCACAGGATCATAGGAAAATGGACTTTAGGATGGACAGGACCTTAGAGCTCAGCTAGTCTAACTCTCTCTTTTAATTCAGCAAGCATGCATTAAATGCCTTCCATGTACTAGGCTTAATGCAAGGGGCTTGGGATATTCAAATAGACCACTGATTTCATTGATCACCACCCCTCCATCCTACCCATACTGTAAGGTACTTGTCCATATCCTCCTGCAGGTTTGGCATGGATGGTCAATCCGACATGTTAGGGGCTATCCCCAATTTCCCCTACCTTTACAAGGGTACCTGCTGGCCACCTGTCATACCTCATCTTTGGTAAGTGACCAGCTCCTCTTCTCTTCCTAGCTCATAAGTCCTTGAGGACATCTTTTACACCTATTCTTCTTTGAAGTTCCTCATTGGTTTTGGGTAGCAGCCTGCTCACACTCACATGTACTTCCTTATTGCTGACTGTGTGATATTCATTTTTAATTATTCTGAAACTGTTGCATCCCAAGTCTCACTGCCCTATAGCAATATGGGTAGAGTACTGGGATTATTAAAAGCCCCCCTTAAAAGTACAGGTAGATCTTTTTCATTTCAATGAGGATTTGGAATACAATAAAAAGAGGAAGAGTGTCTGCCCTCAAGGGACTTATATTCTACTGGGAGTCCAAGAGGAAAAATCACATAGACAGCAAAGCTGCAGAACAGTGCCTGGCACATAGGAAGTGCTTAGACAAATGTTTATTGACTTGCTAACTTGAACCCTGGTCCTGTAACTCCAAATCCAGTCGTCTTCACTTGGTCCAGAGTCTTGCACACCTATCATACAGTATAGGTGTTCACGAAGTTTTTGCCCAGTGGCAGTTGAAGCAGCTGGGTGAGGCTGTATGAGAGTACTAAGTTCCCTGAGTAGGGAAGAGCAGACAGCAAAGGAGGAGAGAGGTACAGAAGTGTATAAGTAAAGAAAGGATGCCAGAGATGAACTGTGCCAGCCTCACCACTTTGCCAAGTCCTGGCATTGGTCACGGTGGTTTCAGAGCAATGTACTGAGAGCACTAATGAATAAAGCATCAGACGGATTCCTAGGCTTGTCTGGAAAACGTAAAGTACAGTAGGAAGCACTCAACTGGAAACGAATATTTGTATCTGAATGCTTTGGTGCCTGATAAGCCAGGGAGGAAAGAGTTCTGTGGGTTCTGTTTACCTGGCTTAAAGATCTGTTGGAATGATGACATAATGAAAGCTGTTATCAGACTTTACAGATTCTCCTTGTTATTAAAGAGGCTGGCTTCTGAACCAAAGTAGGTAGGGAAAGACATGCTTATTAGGATGATCTGTACACATCAGAGCAGGCACAACTAAAATGGCATGAAGCTCTCCTGGGCATCTGACAAACACTGAAATGAAGATGTTCACATCAATCACTCAGCCCATTTCACAGATAATCAGCAGATGTACACCCTCTTTGGGAATTTGAATGAGGAAGACAGCACAGTCTCTCCAGAACTTCCTAATGCTCTGTAGCCCTGGCTGCCTGAACAGGCCCATTTGCTCCAGGAATTTCTCAAGCATGCAAATGGAGATTTGATGGGCTGGCAGATTTTGTGAGGCCACGGCAACTACTGACCCAGGAGAGGTTTACTGAGAATTCCAGCATTTTTACAAAGTGGCTTACATGCTTCTACACACACTTATTGATTCTCAGGTCATTTTCCCGTGGTACCAAAGGTGCCCACATACCGTTTTGTTAGTGAATACAACATGCTGGTACCTTAGCCTAGTACCAGACCATACAGCATAACAGCCAGAGTGCTGAATATGGAATAAGGAAGACCTGATTCTGAATCCCACCTTGGATAAATGCAAGCTGTGTGACACTAGGGAAATCACTTAACTTTGCTGAGCCTTAGTTTGCTTATTTGTAAAATGTGAATAATAATAGCCTATCTTCATTTTGTATGCAAATTTAGACTTCTCCACCATGCATTGGACACCTTTTTCCCCTTCCTCTCTTTTTAGCTTCTTTTTGTGTTTGTCTTCCTGCATAAGACTAAGAGCATGGACTGTCCTTTTTCATATTTTCATCCCCAGTGCTTAGCATGATGACTGGCACATAGTAGCTGCTTAATAAACATTTGTTGGTTGACTACCTCACATTTTTACAGATAAGGAAACTGAGGCTCAGGGAGATTTAGTGACTTGACCAAGATCACAAAGGTAGTACGTGACAGAACCATTGGTTGAGGGAGGACCTACAGTGGTAAAAGTTACAAACTCTTTAATCTATATAAGCCACTAAGATTTGAATTACGGGCTATGGAAAGAAATTGATACATGCTTATTATGAGATGCAAATGAGGTTTTATATATTTGATATGCATATATGTATATATTTTTGTTGTTCAGTCATATCTGACTCTTTGTGATCTCTGGCTTATTTTACAGATGAGGAAACTGAGGCAAACAGGGTTAAGTGACTTGCCTAGGGCCACACAGCTGGTATCTGAGGCCACATTTGAACTCAGGAAGATGAGTCTTCCTGACTCCAGGCCCGGCACTCTATCCACTGTGTCACCTACCTGCCCCATAAGTATATATACATATATATATATATATATATACATACTTTTTTTTTACAAACTATGAAGATTATATAAATTTCAGCTATTGTTGTTGTTATTACAATTATTACCAGGAATACTATGATTATCTAAACTATATCAAAACAAAACCAGAAAGGTGGTCTATACATTATCCAGTCCTTTCCCCTGTCTCTAGTCATGCCCTCAAACCCAAATAATTCCCTCAAATTGCTCCACATCTCATAACTACCCCATCTTCAAATATAACAACTATAACATTGGGAAAAAGTCTTTAATTTAATCTGATTCTCTCTTGTTGTAACTTGTCAGTTCAACAAATCACCTTAACACATTTATTAAACTCTTATTGCATATAAGGTACTGGGAACTTTCCTCTTTAGACTATTCAGTTGAAACTGAAAACATCTTACTGCTCTTCTCCTTTTCCAAGAAACCAAAGAACAAACCCCATGGAGTGAAATAGTCCAGTTAAAAATACAATCATACTATGTGGCTATTTACCTTCCGAGTATGTATGTAATCATCTCTACATAGTGCATAATTCAAATCTTATTGATTACTTCAAAAATTTGTAACTTTTACTACTGAGAATCCTACATTGACCAATAATAGTTCTGTCACTTACTGCCTGTGTGATGCTGAGCAAGTCACTAAATTTCCCTGGGCCTCAGTTTCCTCATCTGTAAAAATGAAGGAGGTTGGACCGTATATCTTCTCTGTTTTCTTCCAGAACTGGATTTATGATCATAAGGCTAATGGAGGTCACAACCCTACACCTCAGTAGATGGTTTTCATAAGTTGTAACTAAAACCTCATTATCCTGCAACTAATCTTTCTTGGGGTGATAAGCTAGGTTGGTCATCCAACCACACACATGGCTATGACTAGGCCAATGCTACAGAAACTTTTTCAGCTTGCTGAGAATGATAAAACTAGCACTGACCTTCATATGCTGCTTTAAGGCTTGCAAAGCACTTCATATAGATCATCTCAGTTTATCCTCACAGTCCTATGAGGTAGGGATTAGAAGTGTTATTATTCTCATTTTACAGATAAGGAAACTGAGGATAAGAGAGATTAAGTGACTTGCCATGGCCACATGATAGAAGCTGCCAGAGTTTACACTTCAGTGCAACAGTTTTGGAAACCAACGAGTTCCCTCCACACTTGATCAGGC